CAAGTACCGCAGCAAATACTGTGGACGTGCGCCAAAGAGAGAATGCCCTCGCTGCCGGGAAACGTTAAGTGCATCGAATGGGCGCCACAGCTCTCCCGTATTGTGTACGTATAACTTCTTTTTTTTTTTTGTTTCAGCGCGGGATTAAACGTCGAAAGAAGCTTATCCGCGAAGGTCACGTAAAGAGCACTTCCCCTTCGGTGTATACGTCGTAAGAGAAGTTCTTGGGATGGATGTCAATTGAATGCTAGAAAGAATTTTCAAACGTTCTGATTTCGTTGCCTTTTCTTATCGCGCGTATTCCCTGCGATCGAAATCTCTGCAAAAAGTAAAGAATTTTCTGAATTAACCTGATCTTAGATCGTCACGATGAAGCCATATTTAATTTGAGCGCAGATATCTTTAAAGGCATCACATGCAAAAAATATGCAACTCGATCTAATTTATCGTCCTTTTTCCTTAAAATTTTATATAAAAATTCTCTTTTTATGATTATTAAAAATAATTTTCAGTAATAGTATAACAATAGAATGCTATTAATTTCTTTTATTAGAAGTCATAAATTTAATCATAGAGATTGACGATTATCGAATGACGAGATACTACAGATACTACATTTTAACGATTATAGAAATTTTAATTTAATTAAAATTGCGATAAATTAGAAGTCGTATAATTCATAAAAAAAGTAGAGTTATTCTAATTTGCGCAAGGCTGCCTTTCCAGAATTTCCAGTAAACTTGATTGCCCTCCAGCCCTCGCCGATCACGCCATTGCTGGCCATGGTATTTGACGATGGTGAATCCCACACACATATATACGTGGAAGGAATAATGCGTATTGCCATATCGCCGGGCAAATCATTTATTTATTACGACATCATTATCCAACGATCGCATAAAACCCATTCGAAGTTTGCATTATCGTTAAATAATCCGCGGGTCAATTTGTTCGAATATTGAACGGCTTTTAATGTCGATTACGAATTTACCACTTGTTCTTATTAAAGCAGCACGACGGGAATATCTAGCGCGAGCTAAATCTTACGCGAGGCGGATCAGAAATCAGGAAAGGAAAATAGTTAGGCTTTAAACTGATCGTGGAATACACACATGATGCATGCCTCGTATTTCAAAATCATTCTGCATGAAATATTCTGTATATTTAAATATTTATAGGTGTATTCTCTCCCGAATCGCAAACAGACCGCTTAATAATTGCCACGTGATTTTACGTGGCAATATCGTATGATTTTATTCTTCATACAATCTTTTATACAGCAACTGTTTTATGACTTGGCAGATAATCAATGCTTTAGAAAATGCGATGGGTAAAAATAATTGCGTCTGTATCCATAATATATGCATATCTGCACAATTCATACGATCTATATTCATGCGCGGGAACACGTGATTCGTTTTATATTTTCCTTTTATTTTTTTGTAATAGTGCCATTCGCATATATATATACACCTGAAGAGAAACAAATTATTTTCAGGTATTCCTGTTTTTTCCCTTAAAACCACTGCCGCGTGACCAACGCTTTTCATGGAATTCCATTTTCGCTATATTATGCAATCAACCTCGTTATCCTTATTACGTCGCTTTATCCGTTATTACAGCTTTATTTGTGCGCTTAAATGTTAAACGTGCTATCCAAGAGTCATCGCCACTTGTAACGTTCTCTAATTTTGAAGTAAAAGATTGAAGAAAGCTATTAAAATTTTTAATTAGTTATGAAATGGCGTCGAACATGAAGTTCCATTTAAAAGATGAAAGTAAATGTAAAGAATTGATTCAAATCAGAGACGAGGGAAAAGAGAATACAAAAGTTTAAAATCTGCAATTCTCATTTCTAAAAGTTATCAGTTTAAATATACTCTTTGTGACATTTTTTTATAATACGATGTAAATATATACCGTGAACAAAAGTTATAAGTAGCTTCATAAAATATATCATTCGAATTATGCGACTGCTAATCAATTGCAGAGAGCTGCTCATATAAGTTCTTAAAAATATTATTATTATTATAATTTATTTCCTTCTATAAAAAGATCTCTGTCAAATTTTGGAAATAATAAGAGAGAAGAGAATCTCTTATATTTAAAACTTTTCCAATTTATTAAAAAATTCTTTTGATCTCATGTTATGTAATTGTCGTTTGAATTTTCCTGCAGTTATCAGTTGACTCGACTGAAGTGTTAAAGATTCTAATAATAATCCCGTAAAAAAAAAAAGAGAGAGAAAGGTTATCGATATCGCGAATACCTATCGAAACCATCTGCTTCAATGAGTAGGCAGGACCTATCAAGCATCTGTTGCAACAAGTTATTGGATGTCTACCGGGTAATTGTCAGGTGAACGACCGTAATCTCAGATTAATTGAACCTCTCCCTCGTTACTCGAAATCCTAATGTAGCTTAACATAGCTCGGCAAAGACCTAAAGACAGCTGAGACGCGGCTTTTTACACAGTTCTAGAGCGGAAAGACGATGACGATGAAATTACATTTCTACAAATTCAAAGTACAAAAGGTTTCAATCTCTGTTTCATCTCTGTAAGATGCAATTATAACGAGATTCTACGCTTATTCGCAACTATCGCGAATAAATTATATCTTCCAAAAACCACAATTTAAATTTATTGCTTTCAATAGGCGAGGCCCTGATGCCAAAGCGGATATGCTTGTTGGAGTTGCACTATTGAGTTTTTCTGAGCCGATCTATGCGTTCGCGATGTACCTGTCCTTTATAGTTTTTATCCCAGATATATAACCGCCCCGAGTGAAGCAGAATGCAGTGCAATTGACAAAAACATCAGAAGATTTATTCATTCTTTTGCATATATGAATATTGTTAAACAAACCGCCGTATTACCCGTAATTGCTGATATGATTATATAATGCCATGTTGCATGATGTGATATTTCAGACGGACGTATTTAACATGATAATTAAGTATATTTCTACAATAAAATTTATCTTTTTGTAAAAAAAAACGGACGCGTGGAAAATGAGACACATGTAACTATAAAAAAAAAAAATTTAACTGTTTTCTTCTTTAACGTGGCCGATTCAATTGAGATAAATTATATCGTTATCTTAACAACGAGCCTTTTACAACGAGCCTTTGTTTTATCTCTGGTATAAATTATTCTCCAAAACACACGGCAAAACGGCTCAAGCATAACCTAGTGTGTGCACACTCGCACATACTCGGTTTCAGCGATACAATGGTGGCGCACCGTTACATTAATTGTAAGAGTCGTCTTATACTACGGAAAGAAGCTTTTGCATATTCCAGCCTTATATCACTCACGCGCTTTATTATAAATGTGCAGGCGGCACAGAGAGCCAAAACAGGAAACCGGAAAAGCCAAGCGAGCGCGCTTGGCTCTCGTAGGGAGAATAAAAGCGCAGTATAAATTGGGGTAAAGCCGTCGGCTCCTTTGTGCCCTCTGTGAATGCAATTCAATAAAGTGTTTAGAGCGAAAGCGGCACAAAAGAAGTCTGGCGATAAATGACAATTTGCTGAAGTTGGCAATTACGGTGAAGTACGCTGCTGCTGAAAGGTGGGCTTAATGGAAAGTTGTTAACAAGAAGTAGGCAACAATAGAAGATAGACCGATAGGGAGACGTCAACGTGAGTCCATCTATGATTTTTTTTTCTCCAGAGTAATTTGCACGGTCAAAAGTGCTCATTAAAGCCACTCCTATAATTTTATGCCAAAATAATAAGTCTCTCGCGTAAATCTAATTTATTATAATTCTCATCACCCTGTCCGAGCCCACTGTCCGACCCAGTTGATTTATCGTTTGTGCGGACTGGTTACGTATATCTGACAAGCGAGATTTATAAAGCTAAGGTTTCACGTTGATGCTAAAATACCAGCTATAATTTTCAACACAAATACGAAAAGCGCGCGTCTGACTATTTTTCACTTAAACAACGACTTAAATCTCTCTTATCTAACCTTTAATCATTTTTAAAATAAGGAATTTTCCACGATTTTGGTAATTACTTTAGTACGCATTTCCGATAATTAATACATTTTAATGATGCGTATATCGCGCACGTTATACTCAATATTTTAAATCCCGGAAAAGTACAGTATCGTACGATAACAAATATTGTCAGTTTTTTACCCGTTAAGTTATCTTTAACGAGCATTTCAAGAGAAAATAGTTTTTCGCATTGTTTCCCATGTTTGCAAAATATTCTCGCGCAAAATATTAATAACAACCACACGAAAGTTTCCGATTGATCATGGCACATCTAACGAACTGACGTTCGCCGGTTTGCGACACGTCATTGAATTTTCATTATCCGTAGACTGACAATAATATCGAATAAGTGTCGATATAATATCGCGTGCTGAATGACAACGTATCCGTTTGCGGAGAGGTTTCCGTTCCGTTCTCGTTACATAACGTTTCTTTCTTTTTTTTGTTTTTTTTTTTTTCTTTATTCGTCTCGTCGCTGGCAGAAATGGGACGGTAGCTGTAGAACGGATGCTCTGCATCTAATGAGCCTCTCGTTCCTATCTGACGAGTGCGGATGAGTGTGTGCCCTGTTCAGTCTCACGTCGTCGTCGTCGTCGTCGTCGAGTAGCGACATTCTTGAGCGCGCATTTTTGTATCGTGAAGAGAAACCAACGAGCGTGCATTATTCTTTTTTTTTCGTCGCGAAGAAAGACGTGTCGCATTTCCGTTTGACCGCGATTGCGGATTAATTTAAACAATTTTTTTACACGATCTAATTTACATAGCAATAATGGTATAATTCACACGATCTAATTTATATTTACAATTTAATTTGACGCTATTGCTAGCTAAGTTGTACCGCCTTTCGTGGCAAATAAAGCCAGAAGGAGCGGCGATGTCCTTAGAGTTGCGATGTTCATTACTTAAAGTCATACTGATCGATACACAGCACACACACACACACACACACACACACACACACACGCGCGCGCGCGCGCGCGCGCGCGCGCACACACACACACACACCACAGTCCCATTTCGCGTGTGTGTGTCATTGTTATGAATTCCCTTTATGTGTGCTTCATATTGAATTTACGTTTCAAACTGCGCGCATAGTATGCGCTACGTATGTGACAGCTTTCTGTCTATATCGCTTGAAGTTTCGCTCGCATCTGCTTGAATAGGCAACGATCGAGCGGATCCGTGAAAGACAAATACACGAAATATAGGTTACACATATCGCCCCCGTTGCGCTTTTACGCCCTTCGAACATGAGGTCGCAAGTATCGAGCCCTTTTTTAAGACACGGGCATCTGCCCATACGGGAGGTGAATTGTTATCGACGAACGTCTCTTCCAGTTTGCATTTTTCTCCGCCGAGCTCCTCTCGTCGAATCTTTTTTTCAGGATGATTGCTCGTACGTTTGGCAAGTTTCCGCCCCGGAACGTTGCGAGTGGGTGAGGAACACCGAAGACTGCTACTCAGACTCGATGATTCAGTACACGGTGCTGTTGTTCTGCTACTTCAGATCTGAAGACATGGCGGTGTTTGCGGGCGGTTTGCTCCTCGTTCTTCTTTGGCTGCTCTACCTATTTCTGATTTTAGGAACTGTAGCGGACAACTTGTAAGTTTGATTGGTATTTATCGTCAATAATATATTTATCATCGGAAAGACGGCATAATTTTCGGACAACTTTTGCATGTCAAAAAAATCTTCATTAAATCTTTGCTAAATTGCAATTTGAATCATAGTGCATTCTTTTAAGAAATAAACACGACGTGATAAAAAGTAAGTATACATTTGTAAAATTATTATTTTTGTATACGCTTGTCAATTAAATAAAAATATTCACTATGAATGCACAATCGTGGAATCGTAATAATAACGCACGCGAGTAACAATGAAATTGCGCCTTTTCTTGGTACCGAAATCGAGAACTTTGGCAAAGTTCAATTCCGATGGAAACGTGTTACCGAATATAGATGATTACGTAACTACAACGAATTTTAACTTCTGGCAACTAACCAAGCCAATAACCGAAAGATTCATATTTCCCCGTATTTCAACCGTCTACGTTCTATGGAGCGGTTTCTTTCAAAATGATAAACGAAGGGGTTTCTCTATTCTTTCGGATTATACAAATATCAAGGAAAAATGGCAGCTTGCCATGTTTGTAGAAGCACATCCAATAACAGAAGGATTCGGAATCCCAAAAAAACTGAAATTTTCTGGTCACGCATCCAAGTATTTAAGTATCGGCATTGTCGTGCTAGTATAATTTTTATCTCAAATATATATATATATATATATATATATATGATATATATTGTATTACTTCCTTTTATGAAACGGAGTGCTTATTATTTTCATAACGTAATTCGAAATTAAAGTCTCCGAGGCGTGTAAATTAAATATCTGTGATGCGAAATTTAAATGAATACTTGGTTTGAAATAACCAAGACAATGTGTACCGAACGGATTTTATTAAATTTTAAATGGTGACAAGCGTGATAGTCGCATTATCTTGATTTTATTTACATGCCTCAATGTCTTCCTGATGAATTATCCACAAATCACAGAGGAAGATATTATATTGTAGAAGGTCTAATAAATTAGATCCAAATTCAAATCTAATATTTAACATACATTAAATTAACTAAAACTTCAACAAAGGCAATATAATTATAAATCTGTATCATTTAATTTATGTACGTCGTATTTATATTGATTTATGTATATTTGAAAAAGTCTTTGTTTTTTTTAACTTCATTAAAATTATATTTAATGTTCAAATTCAAGTTTGTAACAATATAAAATGGTACTTCCCTTTGTAAATTTATATAAGTTAATTTCTATAATACGATAAACAATTTATACAAAAAAATTTAAATCACATAATTTAATAAGCGATGAATTCTTCAGGAAATATATATCTCTGTTCATTCACGTTCAAATTCGGCTTCGGCTATTTTAATTGCACAAAATAAATAAATAAACTTTAGAGAGTTGAAAGCGATGTCGCAGAAGGAAACAGTGATACGATAAACGAAAACGAAACGTACTCAATGTGTGTCGTAAATATTTATACATCCAGCTTTTTAAACCAATTAAAAAGTTTATTTACATCCTATCTCAAGAGTGGTATGGTGAGAACGAAGAGATTTCTCCTTTCTACTATTTTCTTATATATTATATTATTTATTGTCATTTTAATTAAAAGATAATACTTGTTAACTTATTAATTTGGCCATTATTGATGGAACGCATCCTACTTATTACTACTTATTACCACTTAATACTCAAATTCTGTATATGCGATAATATGATTATACAGAAACATTAATTATTTCAGCGTGTTAATTGCGAAAAAGTTAAATGTTAATGCCTATTATATTAGTGTAAAAAACGAAATTTGAAAACTCGCTAAAAGCAACATAAAATATAACCGGTTAAAAATAGTTTTCTGATGATGTGAGACGATAGACGTTAGGATCGAGATCTCTCAAAAGAACTTCTCAAGTTTCCTTACGTTGCTGCGCTAGCAGAAATAACATTTGCGTAGTTTTAATCATCGCTCGAGACTCTATTGAATTTTTCTGAGTCGAAAGGAAAAGTTTATTAGAAAATAGCAAAAAAAAAGATTCGAAAAAAAAAATTTTCGAGTTTTGCTTCCTCGTAGGAAAAAATTATTTAGTACTCAATACAATTTCTTTATTATAATAAATAAACTATTTTTTATTATATATTTATCATGTTTTATATATACATATGCGTGTATATGTGTATGTGTGTGTGTGTGTGTGTGTGTGTAAGTTAAAAAATTTAATCAAGTAAGTAAAAGGTAATTTGTTAGTTTTTCACTGT